GAGGCCTCAGTTTGACTGCTAAAGTCACAACAAAGTAAGAAAAGAATTAAAAATTACAGTCAACCCACAGAGCCGTGGCTGTTCGCAGGTTTGGGAGGCTGAGTTACACAGCAATACTTACGCTACTTACTCTGTCTTCCCAGGAGAGTAGAGGCGCCTGCTAAGATACTCTTACTGCCTGACTTTTTAGTAACAACAAATAATCACACCATCAGAGTACTGGGAGCCAGGAACTGGTCTAGTGCTTTACAAATACCAAATGATTCTGTCCTCTGGAAACCCAGGAGACAAAGCACTTGCCCTGAGTCAAGCCTAGGTGTGAACCAGGCAGACCCTAAGTAGAGCTTCTTCACAGCACAACTTTGTAATTGTGCCTGAATCCTTACAATTAATCAGGTGAATGCTTCTCTTCCCAGCTACATGCAAGAGCCATGGGGGCTAGCTGAGGTCGTATCTGTTTGTTCAGTGAATCCCCAGTTTCTACTGACAAAATCAGTGTTAGTAAATCTCAGTAATTTTCAGAGCTCACCTTCAGCACGAAAGAAGGGGAAAAATGCTAATTGTTTCATAGTTCTTTACAAGATGGTACCAAACTTGTAGGTTATGGGTGAAATATTTGGAATTCAAAACAGTACAACATACCACAGTGCTTGGCAAGATAGGCTTTGGAGAAGACAGGTCTGGGTTCAAATTCCAACTCTAGCATAACCTTGGTCAAGTTAACACACCTGCTTAAATCTTTCATATATATCAATATGCCTTGCCACTTGAAAAAACCCGTACATTAGTTAGCTTAGTATCATAACAAAATACCCCATGCAGTCAACTTAAAAGGGGGAAACTATTCTGGCTCAGTTTTGGAGATTTCAGTTCCTGATGGTGGTTCTCATTACTTCTGGGCCTGTGGCCTCCTGGCAGGGGCACTGGACAGAAAAGACTGGTCACTTCAGAGCAGCCAGGAAGCAGAAGCAGAAGAGGAAGGGTCAGGGTCCCTATATCCTTCAAGGGCATGGCTCCAATGACATAAATCCCTTATGTCATTTGTGCCCACATCTTAGTTTCTACCACCTCCCAGTGGCACCAACCTGGGAGGTGCTAAGCTCTTGACACAAGGGTCTGCGGGGACAGTTAGGATCCAATCACAGCAAACTGAAATAGGCAAAGCATCCTGATCACATCTCAGCAGACAGTTCCAACAGTTTGTCCAACACAATCAGTAGAAAATTCTTAAAACTGATAGCAAGTCTTAGGTCTGCTCATATTAAATGCTAGCTAAGTAACAAACACAACCATGTTAAATGGCTATAAATGGCAAATGGTAGAGACGTGTCCACCTTGGGCATTCTCACTCATTTGATATACAATTACGTAAATTTTCATTCAGTACTATTTGAAGTCTAGCGGACTCTTGTCTCACAAACTCAATCTGTTGTTAAGGGCTGTCTGCACAAGTTGTCAACTGAAGGCTCAGGTTTCTCTACATGACCTTTAAAGTCTCCCGAATACAGGCAGGTCTCAGTATCCTTAGCGAGACATTGGTCCATACAGGAAAAGATGTTGCCCTATTCCTTTTGGGTTAAATCTGTGTCTCAGACAATCTGGAAACAGAAGAGGCTGGCATTCGGGTCATTAACTTGAGACTTTTGTTCGTAAGTTCAAACTAAAATTCTGGTCATAACCCAAGTTGTTTGTATGTCAGGCCAGTCATAATTCGAGCATCTTACCATAGCAAATGAGGCCTTGTGACAAAGACTGCTTGGGAACCTTTGTTGAGTGGGAGACGAAGGGCTCCCTTCTTTACACCCAGCATAGAACTCTCCATCCCCTTGCCCTAGTTCATGGGCTATAGCTGCACTCAGGTATTAGAAGGTCTCTTTCCTATTTAGAAGTTGTAGTCAGTAAGAGACCGAAAGGTGGCTGAGAAGATGCACCGGCTAGGTACAGACACAGGGGCTGAACATTACTCCGTGGGCACACTGTGATAGTTGAAAACCTGCCACTAATTTCATTCACACATGGCCAATGTGACTTTCTTCTTCCCCATACTGGGCTTGCAACCAGGGAGGGCTAAGCCACATTCTCCGCTCTTGTTAGTATTTGAGGCAGGGTCTTGCCAAGTCACCCAGGCTAAGAACTTGCCAGCCTCCTAGCTTAGGCTCCCAGGCAGTTGGTATTGTAGGTGTGTGCCACTGTGCACGGCCTGTACAACTTACTTTCTCAGAGCACTGACCAGGTGTTTCCTGGCTTTTGCGTATTTTTGTCCAACTCTTCATTTTCCTGTTTCTGCAGACATTTACCTTTAAAGAGAACAAATTGTATTGGGAACTGGATCCAGGCTTCACATTGAACATCACCAGCCCCTTAAAAATGTATTTTGAGACAGGTTGCTGCTAATCCCCAACCTGCTTAATTGGGGGATCAAACATGCAATCCACATGCCTCAGTACTGGACTATGGGACTACAGACAGGCACCACTACCCAGGCTTTACCAGCTGTTCTCATGCCACTTCCGATCACATGGTTTCCCCACATGGAAGTGACGCCAGTGGGTGCACATCCTCCAATGGACTAAGTATCGGTCAAAACGTCAGCAAAATATTTGTATTTACAAGTAATGTAAGTGGTTCCCCCATTAAGGAGCGTAAATAATGAAAGGAAGCCTCCATGTTACCCTGTCTCATCTCAGAAACCCAGCATCAGGGATCAGGTGTTCACTTAGCAGCAGGCTGATTATAAGACATGTACAGGTTCAATTCAGAGAAGGCCAGTTAGTCCTTTGCAAGAGCCAACTGTTCATAAGGTTCCACAAATCACAGCGGGTGTGCTAGTCAGTTTGCTAAATGCTTTCTGCCTCCCTACACATGAGCCGAAGGCATAAACTGGCTACAAATTTGTGCTGCTGGCCTTGGTCATCAACTTCACCAATGGATGGTACATTTGCTGGGGCAGAACGCAGGGAAAAAGGAGAAATACTGTGGCTTTGGGAAACACACTCCTGGACTACCGTGCCCACTCTTCTCCGTCGTTTGGCTTATTCTGTTTGAAGAGATGGATCAAAAGAAAGTTGGTTTTTTAATAATAAAAGGTGGAACAAGCCCTGGGCTGGATCCAGCACCAACATGACTCTAACAGACTGGAATATGTCAGACAATGCATTTTATTTTTCTAGCTGCAAATTCTGAATGATCTTGAACCCAACAACGTCAATGAGTCCTTCAAGTTTAAGATCACTGACTCTAGGCCTGCAGAAAGTACCTCAAATTGCTTGCATCTTGCCATCAGTCATTTATATCATTAATGTAGCCATTTTTTGTTTTTACTATACTTTAAAAGTCTAAGATTTCTGAATTTTAACTTTGAATACCAGTGTTTACATATTAAGGTCAAGGACTGTGAGTAATGATCTATTATTCTTCTAGAAGTCTATTTATTCCTGGTTATTTTCTATTCAACCGCCTCCCCCATTCATTTCTGATCCAAAAGCCTAAGTTATCGGTAAGTGGTTAGTTTGCACTATTATTTAAGTAGCAGGCAGGATCCCTTTTCTAACTAAGATTATGGCTAGTGGACATGACACTTTGTATACTCTTAGAACACAGCAGCAGGTACTAAGCAAAGCAATTTTTTAAAAAAGAATATTTAAGAGGCTGGGCAAAAGCAAATGGACTATGCTCACTTGAGTACCCCCGTAACTGTGAAGAAACAGAAAAAGATACCTAGCTGAAGACCACAAACATCTATGTGGCTCACACACCTAAAAATACAATATAAAATAGAAGGTGCTGAATAATTAGACCTTTTGTTCTTTCAAATTTTGAAAGCAGTTTTAATTTGGAAGAAGCAATAATTAGGCTGCAGTGTATCCAGTAGTTTTGCAAAACAATCTTCAAAAATTTCACTGGTTTTGAAAATAAAAGCTTGGATTAAAAATGTGGCTGGTACACAAGTATCCTTCAAAGGTTAAGGACAATCAAATATTTTTTCAGATGAAAATTGCAAGGATCTGTCACCAGCAAACCTGCATGTATTCCATGTTGCCTGAATGCTTTCAACTTATTTATGTTTAACAAAGCCATTTAACAAGTAACTGGGTACTCTTCAGAGTAGAGTACTTTGAACTTGAAATTTTAATAGTTAAAATTTCATTAAAACCACATAGTGCAACTGGAGAAGTATCATAAAACATCTCTTTAATGTGAACACTACTCCATACAATGAAAAACTATTTACAAGGCATCACTTCCAGGTTGTCGCTGTTGTGCCTTCCACCTCCCCATGTGCTGAAACAAGTCTTTGCCCAGGGAGCTTCAGTCCAATTGCACATTGTCCTCCTCCTCCTCAAAGGCTTACCAAGGTTCCCAGGGCTCAGGAAACCTGTCCTCAGAGTTCTCCTCATAATTATGGCTCAGCAAGCATGACACCAAAATCATCCCTAACCCAGAGACTTTGGCAACCACACATATATAAAATGAGCAGATAAGGTCTTATCACCAATAAATAGGATTTGACAGTCCAATCATTTTCAATCTTAAGAAATTATTTTCACTTAGGAAAATATCTGTTTCTCAATGGAACTAAAGTGACTAATCTGTTCTTCATACCAGAACTGAGTTAGGAGGTTTCTGTATACAAATATAGCATGTTTTTCCAGGAATATAACTTCTTGTTAAACAGTTTATTTGCCTTTACACACAGGATTGCTACATACATTCACAGTTTTCATACACTGTAATTAGCTATTCCAGTTGTGCTTTAAAATCCCAAATATTAATCTCAGTAACGAGTGCAAAGCAAATGTCTCATTTGACTACCATTGGTCCTAGAGTTATAAACTCCATAACGACGTACAGAAGGTGCCCCTATTCTCCAGTTTCATCGTTTGCTCTTTCAGGTATGACTTCAAGGCTCCGGCGTGGCCTCTGGGCTTCGGTGTTTTCAGTGCCTGGCTTATTCAGTCCACACGAAACAGCAGCATAATGGATTTGTTTCAGGTTCTCCAATGTCTCGTTCTTAGCATATTTCAAAAGATCTGCTTGTCCCTGTAACAAAACACGCAATTAAACAGTATTAGGTATGAGATGACTTACCGCTAAGACTTTAGAGTACTGGTCTCTAGACAAAATAAAAGTATTTTGTTTCTACAAGAAGGCAATTTTATTTTTTATTGGGGCTGCATCTGAATGGGCCAATTTTAACTTAAAAACAAGTTGGTTTTCCCAGCTTCAACACCACACTCCAAAAGCATGATGCTTTTTCAGTCCTTTCTACTTATAAATCTGAATCAAGCTGTGTGTGCACATGTATGTGTGTGTGTGTGAACTATTCCTGTACATCTTGATTAAGATATTTTTCACTGATTGCCCAATCCTGTTTTGTCCTTTTAAGATATTTTTTAAACATTTTTATTTTGGAATACCCATTCACAGAAGGATACAAATACAGTAGAAATTTTCCTTGTGTATCCCTAAGATGACTTCCCAATGCTTACACTTCACAACTATAGTAGAGTATCTGATAAAGGACACAGACACTGATGCAGTGCATGTCTGCAGCTCCAGGCAACTCGAACCTCAACAGCACCACTGACCTTTACACCCTACAGGGCACCTCCTGCCTGCTGATGGCAAAGCAAGTCTCCAGACACTGCGGTGTGTCACCTGGGAGACGAGTGTTCCTGGCTGAGAACCCCTGGGCGAATGCCGAAGCCAGTGACTCTAAGGTCACCCAGGGGTGCTGTTCTGCTGTGTAGGTCCCAACACCCCTCCTCTGCCATTTTGTTCTAGTTTTCTTTTCAAACTTACCTTATTTAATGGTTCTTGATACTTACACTATTTCCTTTAACTTTTTTCATTAACTTTACTGGTACATTTCAGGTAAACATGATAATCGCTTGTATCACAGGGAATTTGTACCTGTGCATGACATAACTTGATTCTTTTCCTTTTCCATTTGCCTACCTTCCTGTAAACCCCTCTAGACCCCTTGTTCACTACTTTTTCCTTCTCAGGCCCTTGATTTACTCCACTTATTTTCTTTTTATTTTTTATGTATTTAGCACAGTGACTATAGGCTTTCACTACACAGATCAGACTTGTAGTGATTCTCCTGTTTTCAGCTTCCCAAGTGCTGGGATTACAGGCGCACACCACCAGGCCCAGTCTCATTTGAAGTTTCAGTGCGCCTGGGGGGCAGGGCAGGCACAGCAGGTCAGGGATTGAGCCCCCAGCCCCTGCCTCTGCCTCAGCAGGAGTTTTAATTCACTGAGTTATCTGGCCGGCCCTCCACTTACTTATTTTATGATTTCTCTATTTTTGACACTTTGTCACACTTAGAATCTTTTTCTTTTATAACTGCCTCCAAATGCACAGTGTCTTTAAGGTATTTCTGATTTCTACACAGCAGTCCTGGAGCCAGCTGCAGAGGATGGTGGGTAAGAACTTACCTTGGCAGGCAAACACATTAGAATCACATTTTAGCCATTGGTGAGACCAAACTGCAATGGAATTTAAACTATCACGAGGCCCAAATCCACAGACTGGTTTGGTTGCTTCCCACTTACTATTCATGAGTTTTTTTCTTTACAGAGAACTTTAATTAGTAACTAAAAATAGATGTTCTATAGCTTAGTTTAACTAAAGAAGTTTAACTTTTATCCATTCCTCTTTGCTACTGAACTCATATGTTAGAAAAACCCTAGTCACAAGGCTATTGTGTATGAATATACCGTATTTTATCAGAAACATAATTTCTTATTAAAGAGTTTACCTTCACAGGCAGAATTACTATATACATTCATGGTTTTAATAGACTATAACTAGATATTCCATTTGTATCTTAACATTACAATTATTATTAAGTCAAAACTTAAGCTTTTAGAGAAGCTTCAGGGTTGCGGGAAATAGAAAGCCTGAGTCCCCGTGACTCCACACACAACGTCACCCAGTGTCAACAGCGCCACGCTTGCTATCACTGAGGAACCTGCAGCGATTGTCAGTGTAATCCCAAATCTAACTGAACTAGCATCATTCTTGGCATAGTATGGGTTTGTACAAAGATAGGCATCCATCACTAAAGCATTACACGCAATAAGCGAAAAGTAGGGACATTAGCAATGTTATCATCTAGCATTTATATATATTTTAAGGCTTTAACCCTTCCCAAACTCTTATAAACCTTTCCCACATTTAAAAAAATATTTCTGATGTTCTTAACCATTTTCTAAACTCATAAGCCTATGTAATTTAACATGTCTACTGTACAGTACTATAAAATCATGTGATATAGTGAAAAATCTGTGATAATCTAATTAATATTTTTTGAAAACCTGTGAAATGGTGAGACTCCAAAAGTTGAACCGAGAAAGAGTGAAGGACTACTGCATATAGCTTTTTCAGGTGGGTTTCTTTCACTCAGTCACATGGATTTATGGTTTCAATGTTTTTCATAGTTTGATAGTTCATTTCTTTTCAATAATAACATTCCTTTGTCATGATGTACCACAATTTGTTCACTTAGCAACTGAAAAACATCTTGATTATTTCCCAATTTTGGAATTATAAAAAAGCTGCTATGAATGTCTTCAGACATGAATGTTCAAGTCATTTAAGTACATACTAAGGAGAGTCACTACCATATCACATGGAAAAACTAGTTTAGGTTTACATGCAACTGCCAAGCTATCTTCCAAAGTGGCAGTACACTTGCCTTCTCACCAGCAATAAAGGAGAATTCCTGCTGCTCCAAATCCTAGCCATTATTTGTTGTCAGCGTTTTGGTTTTGGCTGTACTAACAGGTATGTAGTAGTAACTCATTTTTTTTCTTTCTTTTCCATGGTATATGGTGTTCAATGTCTTCACCAATGTTTACTCCATTTATATTCTTCAGTAGGGTGTCTGGGCCACTTTTGTCCATTTTTAATCACATTGTCTGTTTACTTACTGAGTTAAAATAATTCTTTGAATATTCTGGAAAGCAATTCTTTATCAGATGTGTCTTTTGCAAATATTTTCTCCTAATCTGTGGCTTCTCTTTTCATTCTCTTGAAACTGTCTTTCACAGTGCAGTTCTTTTTTATTTATTTCTTTTGCGGAACCAGGGATTGAACTCAGGCCCTTGTGCTTGCCAGGGAAGCGCTTATTCCACTGAGCCATCTCCCTGGCCCCCCAACAGCACAGTTCTAAGTTTCAATGAAGTCAATTCTTTCATTCATGGACTGCCTTTTCAGTGGAATATCTAAAAAATGTCACTGCCATACCCAAGGTCACTTAGATTTTATGTTATCTTCTAGTCCTGCTGCCTTGTGTTTTATATTTAGCTCTATGATCCATTTTGAGTTCATTCCTGAGGAGCCCTTTGGTTAGACTCAGTTTCTGTACACGGATGTCCAGTTGTTCCAGAAGCATTTGTTTAAGACTCTCAGCTCTGCTGTACTGGCTTTGCTCCTTTGTTAAAGATCGTATGACTATATACATGTGGATCTATTTCTGTGCATCATTCTCCTTCTTTAATCTTCTGCCAATGTTGCACTGCTCTGATTAATGTACCTTTGCAGCAACTCTTAAATGGAGGTAGTGTATGTCCTTTGGCTTTGTTCTCTCCTTCAATACTATACTGGTTGCCCCACCCCGCCTGCCCAGTAGGAATTTCTGCTGTGTTCTGGGAACCCCTAGATCCAGTCCTAGCCCAGGCTTGGTAAGTGTGTGGGAGAGCTTCCGGCTACCCTGCGCTGGCGGGACCTACTGGTCCCAGCCCAGGCACAGCATGGGTGACACCCTCTTTCACCCACTTGGGATGCCCCCCATCACTCCGTAGTACCCCACAACACCCCGCCCACAGAGTAGGAATTTCTGTCGTGTTCTGGGAACCCCCAGATCTAGTCCTAGTCCAGGCCCGGTGAGTGTGTGGGAAAGCTGCCTCTCCCCCTACTCCACCTTGTCCCCTCCAGACTCAGCTCAAGCCTGGCATACAGGCCTAGAGTGAAACCCCTCAGTTGCAATCCCTGCAGAGAGTGTAGGGGACAGAACCACCCGGCTAGACCAGGAGCAGAACATCTTGCCAGAAGGGCACAAGAGGTTCACCCCCAAGGGCAGCAACAGGAAGCAACTGAGCACAGCAGCCAGACCCAAGCCAGGCACAACTGGATAAATCCAAACTTTGTAGATCAACACCTGAACTTCAGTAGGTGGTAAGGCTATAACTGCAACAAAGATCTACAACAAAGGTCAGAAGATACTGTTACACAAAATGACAATGAGAAGGAGCAAAATGCAATCTCAGAACCCAAGCCCACCCATAACAAGTGCAGAGGACACTAACACAGAACAAATTGGGAATCACACAGCTGAAAGCAATGAATCAACGGTTTCCGAAATAAAGAAACAGCTGCAGAAAGGTATAGAGGAACTCAGATTGGAAATGGAAAAATAAATCCCTGAATTAATAACATCTGCAGTAAAGAATTAATAACATCTGCATTTGATGTTATTAATCAAATGCAGAAACATACGGAGGAAACTCAATGCCCACCCAGAACAAGTGCAGAGGATACTAGCTCAGCTCAAATGGATGAATTAATAGCGTCGATAGTAAATAAGCAACAGCAGAAAGTCATAAAGGAACTCAGAGCAGAATTTTTTCTACTAGCTCAGCTCCAATGTACGAATTAATAGTGTCAATACTAAATAAGCAACAGCAGAAAGTTATAGAGGAACTCAGAGCGGAATTATTTTCTGAAAGAAAAGAATTCTCAGAACTCATAGAATCTGAAGGAAAGAATCAACTACAGAAACATAGGGAGGAAAACCAATCTGAAAAAAACACTGCAGTAAAAGAATTTATAACTGTTTCTAAAGAAGATATTGATAAAAAAAATAGAGGAGATTAGAAAAATGATGGATTCCTTGAATGAGCAACACAGGAAAGAAATAGATTGCATGAAGCAGAGTCAAAGAGATATAGAGGAAATTAAAATCTATCACAAGGTTGCAAAACTGTTTAAATGAAAGTGAAGACAGTTTCAGTTCTTGAAGATGCTGGTGC